GCTGCATATTTAACTAAGATTGTTTATTTGCTTCAATTTTCAATCTAAGAACTTTTTCTAAAATATTTTGATTTTTTTTTTTTCTTCTTCATATTCTAGAAAATTTTTGGCTATTCTAAGAAACATTTCGGCGTATAATTGAAATATTTATTTTCAGAATCACGCATAAACAAATGATAATTATCATTATTTTCCTATACAATGATCATGAACCTTTGAAAATCGTCGTATATATGACATAAACTGTGTCTGCTTAGAAGAAATTTGGGTCCGTTAACGGCCTCCTTCACAAAATAATTTATCTTTTAATCGGACTCTTCGCAAATTTGTTTATCTTCATTATTGTTTTGTTAATCGAATAAACCCTTCCCGAGGGGGGGGGGGAGACGGTTTGAGACAAACTAAGTTTCCCTAAGTTTAAATTCCAAATGGAGTATTCTAAGAAAATATTTCTGCTTTTACAAACATCGCGTGCGCATTCTTATTAATACTAAATCATTTTTTTTGTAAATAAATAATTGATCAATTTTTATTTATTCATTAAATTAATTAATAGAATATTATGTAAATAAAGATTAATTTCTGGCAATTTCTTATATAAAATATTATAAATTTAAGAATTTTTTAGTTTAAGTTTACTTCATGCATAACACATTAAAAGTGATACATTACTAAGTTGTGTTATTTAAAATATGTCAATTGAAATTATTAAAAACGTGAGTGATTTTGTTTCCATTATTCGTCCGAAATGAATATTCTGTGTTGAGCAGTATAGGCTAAATACCAAATATTTGTATGTTGCATGATTTTCGTACCTATTTACAATTTAAAAACTTCTTGGAAAGGTTTTCAGCAATTTTTGCAATAACAGGGCACTATTTGTACAAATTCACAAAAGCAGGACCCTGGTTGAAAGAATGTGAATTAACGATTATTATTCACAAATTATGAATAGTTTTTTCGCAATTTTACGAAAACTGGACCTTTCACAAAATGTCTGGACAGACCCCTGATAAAAGAGGCGGTGCATGGGTGAGAGGTGACTCACTGTATTTGTATTTTCTTCTGAATTTCTACAATCTTCCTTTACAGACCAAGCTGAATCAGTGCCAAACAGAATGCAGTAACATGAGGGATGAGCTTCAAAAGATGCAAATGGCCAGAGAAGAGATGCAAGTATACGTGAGAAAATTGGAACAAAAAAATGACGACTTCGAAAGAGCCACCAGGTTAATACTTCCACTTTTTAAAAAAAAATTCAATAAGAAAAACTCTTGTACTTTTATTAATATTATTATCTATAATGCATATTTATTATCTATCCTCATTCGCATATAAATCACCCTTTTTACTCTTGCACGTAACGCCCCTATGCATGACGAACTTAAATAACTACTAATAATTATCATAATCTGAAAAGAAGACCGGTTGTAAGTTTAAAGCCAGTTTATTTTTTTATGTTATTTTTAACTTCCACCATACCTCTTTAAATAATTCCATCTGCTAAAACCTGTGGCAGAATTTTTTGGAGCTATCTGCGACAAAACTCTATCTCTAATATTTTTCTGCAAGATACTTTTAACACTTAACATACCATATCCGGCCAAAAGATCGGTTTTTGTATGTTGTATTGTATTGTATTGAAAAGTGTTGGTTATGTTTAGTGTTAATAACAGCAAACATATATGATACCAATTTAAAATAACAAAAGCACTGTGTTAACAAAAAAAAACATTATAATTTTTTTTTCTATATAATTGAACATGTAGCAATTTTTTATTCTTATATTTTGTTGGGGGAAAAACTCACTATTTATTTCCTCTTCTTCGCATTTCGTAAATATGAAATCCGTTGCTGAAAATAAGAGTGAGACGAAATCACGCGAATCGGACTTCTCAAAAAGGGATTACTCAAATGCGAGTTTCGTTTTCAGGTTAGGTTGTTATAATAAATAACATCGTATAAAAAATATCGGATTTAAAAACTGTGAAGAAATCAATAGCAATAACTGCCGAAAATTTGATAAAATCATTCGATTCGAATTTCGATACACGATTCGAATCATTCGATACACGATTCGAATTTTCCATATTGTTGAAGTGTATATCGGAATATTTAAAAGTCATGTGAAAATTAATATCAGTAACTGCTGAAAATCAAATTGGAAAATTGCATCTATTTGCGATACTATCGGCTTAAATTGAGAGCATCAAAGAGTGATAATCTAAATGCATGATTTAAATATTACCTGTAAATTTCTGTAGAAAAGAAAACTGAAATTGTTTACTTTTCAAAAGAAAATTCCTTCTGCAAGAACTCTGTAACGTTATGTCGCCGTGTCGCTGCCATTCTGCCACGGTGCTGCTAAATGGCGCTTTTGATTCAATATCTAATCAAGGCTCGCAACGGTTTTCGCTAGTTGATTAGCTTTATTGAGTTTTGAGCTTCCGACTTATGGTGAAATGTGCGAAAACAGTGTCTACTAATACATCAAGAAAGAAGAAAAGTGAATCGTACGTCAAGTAAAAGCCAAATTTACTATGTATGTAGTCACAAAATAAAAAACGGACCACAATGAATAACTTTTGATCTAATGATCAGATCTTTACGTTTCAGGATGGACTCAATCTCGAGGGGGCGACTTCAAATATGCTGATTAGTTAGTGCCGACGATATTTCAAGTTAAGAAATCAGACACAAAAGCGCGCTTTATATTACTAAATATACCTTTTTTCCGACAGATTTAGATTTCTGACCCACAAAATATAGGGGTTAGCCGCAATCTGTGAAATATGGTCCAAATAGTTTAATCAGGAGAGAGTGGCTCAAACTTTGGACCCCTTAAATAATAGTTTTACTTTTTGCGTATCTCGAAAACTTTTTAAGCGAGTTTTCTTGACATTTGAGAAGCAAATCACAGGCGTCACATTTGAGAAGCAAATCACAGGCGTCACGTTTGAGAAGCAAACCACAGGTGTCACGTTTGAGAAGCAAATCACAGGCGTCATGTTTGAGAAGCAAATCACAGGCGTCACATTTGAGAAGCAAATCACTGGCGTCACGTTAGAGAAGCAAATCACAGGCGTCATGTTTGAGAAGCAAATCACAGGCGTCACGTTAGAGAAGCAAATCACAGGCGTCATGTTTGAGAAGCAAATCACAGGCGTTATGTTTGAGATGTAAACCACAGGCGTCACATTTGAGAAGCAAACCACAGGCGTCACGTTAGAGAAGCAAGTCACAGGCGTCATGTTTGAGAAGCAAATCACAGGCGTTATGTTTGAGAAGTAAACCACAGGCGTCACATTTGAGAAGCAAACCACAGGCGTCACGTTAGAGAAGCAAATCACAGGCGTCATGTTTGAGAAGCAAATCACAGGCGTTATGTTTGAGAAGTAAACCGCAGGCGTCACATTTGAGAAGCAAATCACAGGCGTCTAATGCAACGAAACAAATCTCTTTCCATGAAAACTTGAGGATCTCATTGAGCTTTGTAATTAAACCTAGGCGTTTCAAGTGATCATGAACGGTCGAATTTGACATTCGATTAAGTCAGTCAGAGATCTCACTAGTTGTTATTCGCCAGTTCGCTTTAATTAATGCCTTTATTGTGACTACATCAACGTTAACTGTCATAGTGCATCTTAATCGAAATTTCCCAAAGCAGTTTTGGCTCTGGCATACTGTCAATACATCTTCTTAATTATACTCATCAAATAATTTTTTTCTTGCTTGAACAGCATTTTTACCTTTTCGAAAGTAAAATATGTCAAAAATGCTGTTTTTCACTTTCGCTGCTGCATAGTGTCAATCGAACTTTTTCATAAATAAGACTTTTTATATCAGTTTTTAAAATTTATAATGATTTTAAGACATAAGTGTGAAGTTGTCTATGAAAAAAAAATACAATTAAGTCCCCCTGATGGGAAAAGACGAACTTACTCTCGGAAAAACCCAATAATTTTATTTCATATGTTCACTGTTTAGCAAACCCATTCATTCTATTTTTATTTTGAAGCAAATATCTATTATAATATTTGATTTCAGATAACAAATATTTAGAGAAAATTTGATTTACGATACAGCTTATAAGAAATAAGATATTTCTTTTTCTCTTTCTGGTTCAATGCACAATAAATCCTATTTTTAACAAGACTTGCAAAATGAATTACTTAAACTATTTTTTTCATAAAATGACTACATATTTATTATTCCTTTTTTTTCTAACAGAGCGTCTCTAATGTCCTTAGAAGACTTCGAAACAAGATTGAATCAAGTAAGTATTATTGCATACTAAGGATTTAATGTATGAATCATATCAGAGTGTTAAATATATGAAGGGTTTCGGGCAATATAATGATAAGCCACATTTTCATCCGCAGAGAGCGGATTTGGTGAAAAATACCTCAATTTTAATATACGCAATAAAATGTTACAGTGTAGTGTGCTTTTATCTAGTGAAAATCCCAGAAACTCGTAAAGCACCTATCTAGAAGCAATAGTGAAGAACATTTCATTTACATTAACTGTTTCATTTACATTAACAATTTTTCGCTCTCAGAAACCATTAAAAAAAAAAGAGGAATAATTTTTTAGAAAAACTTGTTTAATGATTTCTAAACTTTTATTTATTTTATTTTCTACAGCTTCTCAGCATTCCGATTTCTCACTTTCTCGTAATTAACAAAACAGCATATATTTAGATTGAGAGCTCCTTTTCCCGGCTTTAAATCATTTAAGCTGATGAGGACTGGAATATTGTTACTAACTAAACGAAGAAAACAATTGTATATAAAAAGTTTTTGTTACAATGGAAATTTAAAATTTATGTAACGTATGGAAAAGGACACTATAGTGGATCTGGTCCTAATGGGCGATATCCACTATATACAATGGATTAGTAACGTATGATTTTTTTATTGTTATTTACAGGCTATAGAAAGAAATGCTTTCCTAGAAAACGAATTAGATGAAAAGGAGAATATGGCTGTTCTGATTCAAAGATTAAAAGATGAAGCTAGAGGTAAAATCCATCTGCTTTAGTGGTAATCTTTTTATAACAAATTTCAATTTATTTTCTTTCTTTTTTACATGTTCATCTTTGATTGATAATCATTATTGGTACTAACCTAAAACATCTACAATTATTAGTATTAATTTTTTTATACTGTCGTGAAATGACTTGTAATTGGATATCTGCAAGTGACGTCATTGTAGGTAAATTAAATCGTTGCATTTGTCGATTCAGAAGAAGCCAATTGGGCTTGACACACTCTTGTGACGTCTTTTACAGGTAGCCAATTAAATCTGATTTAAATCACATGGTTAGGCCTGATTTCTTTTCGAGTTGCAAATACCCATTTGAATATAAATTATTTTGTTTCTAATTCTATCGCATTTGTTTGAAGCTAAATGTTTAATAGCTAAACGCTGTAAAAATAATCCCCAGATACTCACAAAAATACGTATATAATTGAAAGTCAGAATTTTTCCGTTTTCAGCTNCCTTACTATGTGTTGTATATTGTGGGTAAGTTTCATAAAATTCCATGTGTAATTTCTTGAGTTATCGCGATTTTTGTGAATTTTCCTTAATTTATGATAACCAGTGTATATACATCTTGGTAACTTCTCTGTGCTCTGCGTTTAAAACTCTTAAAAAAAAATTTAAATTCTAAGGAGAGTAAATTTAATTCTAAAAATAAGAAAATAGAGTTACGTTAGTGATTGCTGTAGTATTTATGTGTATATATATATATATATATATATATAGTCGGACCCCGATTTAACGAACCCCTATTTAACGAATTTCGCGTTTTANACTATTAGTTCACACTCTCCCTATATATATACAGTCGGACCCCGATTTAACGAATTTTTTTTCCGCCCCAGCAAAACCAGAGTAAAAAAACCCTAATTAACGAATAATTAACCCCGAATTAACGAATTATTTCAGCATCCGGAAAAAATATTTCTCATTAATTTTGATCAGAAAAATATTGCATTTTTTTATAATTGGCAGATTCTAAAGGGAAAAAAATCTTTCCTGGGAGGAATAAAATAGAAAAAGTGCATATTCGTCTCAAACAAAAGAAAAGCCCGCAACAGGGAAAAACAAAATTCGTCGTGGGTAGGTGGGCAGAGTCAATAAAACATTACACTTGCAAGGTCATTTTCCGGGGGTTTGTCACGTGGACTATGAGTCAAACAGGAAATTCCTATAGTCGTTTATAACTAGTAATTTTTAATAATACATATGTACAAAAAAAATTTTTTTTAAACCCCGATTTTACAAATGATCCCGATTTAACGAATAAAATTTCAGGTCCCGATGAATTCGTTAAATCGGGGTCCGACTGTATATATATTTCTCAAAAAACTGAAGAATGAATTTTTTGGAAAGTAACCTGTTCCATCAAATACCTAATTTCAGAAAATTTGAATTTATTATTGGCGGCCCTAAAATGTTTTGTGTTAATTTTCGTCTAACATTGAACAAGTATCACCGCCAGTCTCGTAGTTTGAAGAAAGTACACATCAACGTAATACCATTTCCGTGGTGCAAACATTGGTACCGGTATAATGTTCATGGGTACTACGTTTGTAGTCATAGATCAACGCTTAGAACAGTATAACGTTCAAAACTAAGCATCGTACATGAAATAAATCTTCCACTTAACAAAATATTTCCATGAACCAAATTAATACAAGCAATAAAAGTATTATATACTGTGGTAAATGTTTTTTGTACGATGCGCAAAAGAGAAAACGGATCAACTTGAATAACTTTTGATGTAATTGTAAGATCTTCACGTTCTAGCACTCAATCTTAATGGTTCTAGGGGTGTTGGCCTCAAATATGCTACTTAATTAGTGCTGACAATATCAGATTATCGATATCAAATTTTAAAGAAGTTGTATATTTAAAATTCTATTTTTCAGGAACTATTTGACCGATTTTGTTTAAATTTTGTATTTGACCATGCAAAATTACATTCTTTAAAATTATGTAAAATATTTCCTACTTCAGAATTTAAAGTTTTTTCGACTTCATTAAGTAAAATAATAACAAAAATTATAAATATTTACTAAAAGCTATTTTTTGCATAGAATTAACTTTGGATAAATGTATTTTATAATTGTGTGCAAAAATTTTCAAATTCGTTTTAAAAGTTCTTGAGATATTGCAAAATACGAAAAAGTAAAATTAACATTAAGAGGCTGAAATTTTAGACCGCTCACCTGTCCAAACTATAGAAACCACATTTTTCAGGTTGCGGCTACCCCTTATATTTTGGGGGTCAGAAATCCGAATCCATTGAGAAAAAAAAAAGAGATGTCTGAAAAATTGTGTCCGATTTCGTAACTTCAAATATCGTCTGCACTAAATAATTAGCTTATTTGAGGCCACATCCTTGAGCCATTAAGATTGAGTACTAGAACGTGAAGATCCGATCATTAGAT